TTTGTATGTGGTGCTGAGGATCGAACCCAGGCCGCACGCATGCCAGGCGAGCGCTCTTGAGCCACATCCCCAGCCCAAATCACTTGTTTTCTAACATCCAAAGTCAGTAATCTACTCACACTCTTCCTCAATTTCCTTCTTCCTAAAGTGGAGATAATGAAAGTACTTACAGAATATCGGGAGCAAGAAGCAAAACGATTTATGTTAAAACATTTGAAACACAGTTTGACACAATAAAGTCTTCAATCTTAGTAGTAATTGTTATTTGCTAAGAAGTTTTTAATCAAATCAAAGTATATTGTTCCAAATCACAGCATTTACTTCCATTTTATCCAAACATTTTGATAACTTCATACAGTTAACTATTTGAACTTCAAGGGCACTCTCCTAGAAATTTGTGTAACTTTTTTTCATCTTCGAACTTGTTAAACATCTAATATTTTGGCTTTCCAGTGAAAGCACTGCCTTCTGGAAGAGTAATTTTTGCAAATGTCCTCAAATTATGAAATCAGTTACAGGAAGGGAAGAAAAATAAACACATCCAATTATTTTCTCCAATTAGTAAACCTTAAATTTCAACAGTCTGAAAAGCACAAATCTACACGTTAAAAAAAACAACAAATTTTCTTAACCATTACACATTAGACTTTTTAAAACTATGAAGAAATCCATCACTTACAGAGTCATGGGTGAGGTATGTATCGCAGTAGTCACAATAAAACCTGAAAAGAGGTGAGAGAGAAAAAGGGAAGATGTCATCCCATTATCAGATACCAACCCACGGCAGCGCTGTTCACTGAAAATAATAATAATAAATAATAATAATAATTTTTTTAAACGCCCTATTCAGATCCTAAGGCGTCAAAGCGTTCGGACAAAACCGGGGGTTTCTGTTGCTTTAAGCGGGGTCGACCTCCACACTCCGAAAGGGGTGTCTAGAGCTCGCCATCTCTCACCCTTCTTATTCCCCAGATCCTCGCCCGTCCTTCGAGGTTTATAGTATCAGAACCCACTCTCCACTCCTCTCACCGGACTACCATTAAGGACTGTCACCTCCCTCATATTTCAGAGACCCTCTTACTTAGGCATGCTGCTCTTAGGGCCGTTGACCACTCGGCTCCGCGCCGCCCGGAAATGACGCACCGAGCTCACGACGGTGCCGCAACCTTCACGAGACTGGCGCAAAAACTGCCGAAGCCCTGGCGGTCTGTAGGCAAGCAAGGGGCGGGGCTTTTCTCGTCTTCCCTTCACCTATTAGAAAGTGGGAAGGGCGGCACTACGGATGCCTACGAGGTTCAATCCAAGCTCATTTAGTCTTGATTGTGGGTGCTTCCGGGAGCGCGTTATTTTTCGTCAAATATGTGGCTCTTCCCTGCTACATATCCGGCGCTGCATTACATGGGAACAAAACACAAAAAGTTCTGGTTCTGAGTTTACTAGAAATAGGGAAAAAGAGAGAACATCAATATGTAGTATCTTAGCTGGAACAAATTCCTGTGGAGTGGCGAGGGATGGTGGTGGTAATAAAGCAAGCAAGTGGAACCTGGCGCGGGGGCCGACGGCCCTAGTCCCAGAGACTCAAGAGGTTTGGTTTGAATCCAGCCTGGACAACAAAGCGAGACTCTTGTCTCAAAATATAATAAAAGGGTTAGCCCAATCCTCGGTACCTCTTTTTAAAAACGTTGGGGGAAGCAACTTTAAAGAAGACAGAAAGCCTGTTGAAAAGGTGACAACTGGAAAATCCATAAAGCCATGTGCACTCGTTTATTTATCGTTATTCGTTGTTTTTTGATTTAATATCCTTGTTTTAGTATCCAGGAGGCAGTAGAATCTCCAGTTTCTGCACATGTCTCACCATTTCTAGCTGTGCTACTTGGGCAAGTTATTTAATCTTTTTGAACCTCATTCCATCATCTGAAGAGTATGAATAATTACTGTGGGGTTTAAGGAAGAAATAAGTGTGAAGGTACTTGTAAAGTGTTTAATGCAGGCTGAACATACTAGTCCTGCCACAAATGGTGGTTGTTACAAAGGAAGAAATTGATAAAAAGTATCCTGTCACTGGGATTACAGGCATGCACTACTTCACCTGGCTGGATTAAAATATTTTTAAGAGGCGTGACCACATGTAGGGTATGGTCCAGAATTAGAGACTAATTGTTTTGTTTCTGGTGGTACTAGAGTAAATCAGGGTACTCCACCACTGAACTGCACCCTCAGTCTTTTTAGTTTTTTTTCCAGTTAAAAATGAGCAAATGACCTGAATAGATAATTTTTAATATAACAAATACAAATGACCAAGAAATATATGAAAAAATGTTGAATAGCATTAGCAAATAAAAACTACAATGATAATCATCTTGCCCCTGTTAGAATGGCTTTTTTTTTTTTCCTCAGCTTTTTTAAATTTTATTTTGAGACAGGGTCTCAGTTGCTAAGGCTGGCCTTAAAATTCCAATCCTGCCGACTCTGCCTCCCTAGTTGCTGGTGTTACAGACATGTGCCACCACAACCAACTAGATCCTACTTTGTACAAACTAACTATAAAGTCTTTTTGGAGAAAAAGTCTGGATCTTAACATTGCTGTTCAAGAAACCAACCTTTGTGAGGTCACCCTGAGTTGATTTTCCTCAAGGGGATGAATTTATCAATTATGTTTTGATTTTTTCCTGATTTCCCTCTGTGCTGATCCTGGCCTGTTTTACCGTCAAGTCTATTCTTCCCCTTTCTCCTGCTCTTTACAAAATGGCAACGGAGGGTTGAGTCCATGAAAGCTGCAGGGCCTAAACTACTGTGCTGCTTGGCCTTTGGACTGAATTGCTGGACTCCATTAATGAGAGGCATTTTCTGGACATTGGAGGGAACCAAGGAAAAAGTCAGAATATCCCTTCTCCCCACCTGCAAGCCAGAGTATCCATCCCTTCAACATTAGTCCTATGACCTACTTGGTTCCAACTTTGAGCTGATGATCCAACTCCCTGGGCTCTGGTAACACAATGTCCTGTCCTGTAAAGGTGGCATTAGTTTCTTACCATTGATCATCTCTGGGCTATTTCGTTATTTCTGTTTGGCTTTTTATCTCTGACCCTGATTTATATATATACTCAGTATGACCTTAACCTCCAAGATCCAAAAGGTATCTCCCCACTGCCCTGTCAGTGAGCCCTATTATCTTGCAAAGCAGTGCTTTTCACACTTTTTCTCTAGGGTTTAAGACAAATGTGAATGTTCATTTATTCTTTTCCCTAGGTCTGAGGTCAAAATCTTAAGTGCCCACCTGAGCTTAAAATGCCCTTGAATTTCTGTGTGATATTTTAAGAACATGAATGTCTGTGATCTATCCTAAAACATGTTTATATCTTTTAGTATTTCTTAAAGCATTTTATATTTAAATGTATTTTAGGGCTGGGGATGTAGCTCAGTGGTAGACTGCTTGCTTAGTATACACAAGGCCCTGGGTTCAACCCCAAGCACCAAAACAACAACAACAAAAAAAACTGTTTCCTAAAATGTATTTTAGGTTTTTTTCAGTAGACGGAAAATACGCAGAGCACAAAATTAGAAAAAAGATAAAAAGATATACTCCCCACACATACCTCTGTTTCCTCCCAGTTTCTATGTAAACAAAAACAAGTTTCCTGGTTCTGTTTTACAGATATATAGTATTTCCTTGTATGGCTGTATTTAAATTGTTTCCTGTCTCTTATTGTTATAATGATACTACAGGACTTAGTTAATTCATAATTCACATACACACAAATATGTTTCTAGGATAAAGTTCTAAAAGTAGAACTGCTAAGTTGAAGAGCTTTGCATTTGGAATTTTGAAAAATGCTGCCAAATGGCCCTCCATTGTGATTGTATTGGGAATGTTTTTTCATATTTTTAATCTGATATGTTAAAAAAGGCCTTGTAGTTCCACATGTTGGTACATGCCTGTAATCCCAGCAACTCAGGAAGCTGAGGCAGGAGGATCCCAAGTTTGAGGCCAGTGTGTGATAATTTAGCAAGACCCTGTCTCAAAAAAATTAAACAAAAAAGGCAGGATGTAGTTCAGTGGTAGAGCATCCCAGGTTCAATTCAAAGTGCCAGGAAAAAAAAAAGTATAATAATTTTAATTTATGTTTCTTTTAAGAATGAAATTGGGTATATATTCATATGGTTAAAGGCTTTAAAGAGTCCTAGAGCCTTCTGTGTAGATTGTGTTTTCCATATCCTTTGCTTCTTTGCTGTTATATTGTTAGCCTCATCCTTTTCTTATTTATTGGCACATATTTTTCCAATTTTTTTGTCTTTAGCTTTATTTCAAATGTTTTTATCATGAAAATTATTTATATTTTGGTCAAATTTATTAATCTCTTTTAAAACTGGGTTTTATGTCATACCTAGAACAGCCTTCACCTCTGGGAGATTTTTAATTGCAGTACTGGGGATTGACCCCAGGGGCACTCTATCACAAGGCTACATCCTTAGCCTTTTTATTTTTTATTTTGAGACCCTGTCTTGCCAAGTTGCTGATGCTGTCCTCAAACTTAGGATCCTCCTGCCTCAGCATCCCAAGTCTCTGGGATTACAGGCAGGAGCCATTGTGCTCAGCTGTCACATTTTTTTCTAACTCTTATTTCTTCATGTTCGTATTTCTAATTTATCTGGAATTTATTTAAAGTAAGGTGTGAAATGGGAAACTAACCTAATTTTTCTTTTCACAAAGAGCAATCCAATTATCCTGATACCTGTGTTTTAGCAATCCTTTTTTTTCTCCTACTAATTTGAAATGCTTGTATCTGATTTTTTTAATATATATATATAATATATATGTGCTATCTGATTATATAATCTGTATTGTTTTATTTCTGGGATTTCTAATCTATCCCTTTGATCTACTAATGTAACTTTAACAACTACTTTAGTTATATCACTACCTGATTAGTTTAACCATCTGGTTATTTTAATATAAGAATATTTCTATTTTTTTTCTTTTTTTATTTGTTCTACTTAGTTGTACACGACAGCAGAATATATACAGACATTTATTTTTAAACTGATCATCACGGAGCTACCCACCACCCGCCAAGGCCGATTCTGCAGGTCACAAGGCTCCTGGTTGCCACTCGGTGTCTACCACCCTCCAGAGGTAGTCACTGATGAATTTCTTGGAGAGCTGGGTTCTGTCCAGTTGGACGGGCTGGGCCACACTGGGGCCGTGATGGATGCCTTTGATCATTCCTGGCTTGCTCTCGTAATCCCACTTATTTTACTAATTCGGTGATAAAGTTGAGCCACATACAGGGCAGAAGGGATGGTGACCGTCGCATCCAAGTCAATGTCTCAAAAAAAAAAAAAGTGTGTCACATTAGATTGGGTAGAGAGAAGTGATGAGAGGGGAGGGGAGGGGAAGAGGGAATAGGAAGGGCAGCAGAATAAAATAGACATTATTATTGCTGTATGTATATAGGTGACTGTATGACCAATGTGATTCTGCAACCTGTACAATCAGAAAAATGAGAAATTATTCCCCACTTGATTCAAATGTATGAACTGTCAAGACCATTGTACTGTCATGTGTGACTAATAAAAAAAAAAAAAGAATATTTCTAGGGGCTGGGATTGTGGCTCAGCAGTAGTGCGCTCGCCTAGCAAGGGCGGGACCCGGGTTTGACTCTCAGCACCATATAAAAATAAAGGCATTGTGTTGTGTCCATCTACACCAAAAAATAAATAAATAAATAAAAAGAATATTTCTAGATTACCCAATATATATACTTACTTCATTCCTTCATTTAAAAAAATGTTGCAGAGCCAGGTGCAGTATTGCATGCCTGTAATCCCAGAGACTCAGCAGGCTGAGGCAGGAGGATAGCAAATTCAAGGCTAGCCTCAGCAACTTAGTGAGACCCTGAGCAACTGAGCAAGACTGTCTTAAAAAATAAAAAATAGGGGCCGGGATTGTGGCTAAGGGGTAGAGCATCTGCCTAGCATGCATGAGGTACTGGGTTCAGTCCCTGGCCCACATTAAAAAAAAAAAAAAAAAACTTAAAAAACAAATAAAGGTATTGTATCCCTCTACAACTACAAAAAAAAATTAATTAAAATAAAAAAGGGCTTGGGATGTGGCTCAGTGGTAAAGTATTCTGTGTTCAATCCCCAGTACCAAAAAAAAAAAAACTTGTAGAATTGACTCATGTGATGTTTATCATGTAGGTTTGGCATATCACTGGTATACAGTTGTATATCTGTATAGAAAGATATTGCCAGTTAAGTTTGAAATTTCAGGTAAACAACTAATAATTTTTGGTATAATATATTCTGTGCAGTTCTTTTTTTCTAATCTACAGATCCTACCAGAGTGCTTTTTAATATTATGTATTACTTATTTATTTTGGTACTGGGAATAGAACCCAGGGACACTTTACCCCTGAGCTACAATTCCCAGCCCTTTCTTTAAAATTTTGAAACAGGGTCTCATTGAGTTGCCAATGCTGTCCTCAAACCTCTGATCCTCCTTCCTTGGCATCCCAAGTCGCTAGGATTACAGCCATGTGCCACCATGCAAGTATGTGGGACACTTGGTTGAAAGTAATTATTTTAGTTTCATATGACAAAACCAATGTACACTAGCTTAGGCAAATAGGGAATGTAGAGAGTCAGAAAACTTGGATGTATAAATGTAGATTTGGGCTGGGGATGTGGCTCAAGCGGTAGCGCACTCACCTGGCATGCATGCTGCCCAGGTTCGATCCTCAACACCACATACAAAAACAAAGATGTTGTGTCCGCCGAAAACTAAAAAATAAATATTAAAAAATTCTCTCTCTCTCTCTCTTAAAAAAAAAAAAGTGTAGATTTGTCTTCAAGTATGGTTGACTGAGGGCCTCAAACAATATCACTCAGTCTCCTCTCAACTCTGTGTGCTTCTCTTTGCATATTGTCCCCGTCCTGTCACACTGCAGCTTGGCTTCCTCCATGAGCCCAGGTAATATAGTCACGAATATCTCCAGACTTCCATCCTTCCAAAAGCTAGTGTGGGACCTGAACGGCCAGGCTTAAGGCAAGGGTCTTCTATGATAATGGGTCGGGAATTGTGATTGATGGTCCCTCTGGAACTTCAGGAAGTTAGGGAGGAGTCTTCAAACCTTGGGGGAGTATTATTGTCAAAGAGGCAGTACAGAAAAGCATCCTAGGCCAGAAAATGATGTGTACAGCTGCCACCATTGGCCATACCAACCCTGTCCACAAAACACACATAAAAGGAGAAGGCAGTTTAAGGCAGTAATTTCCACTGTCACCATCAGAAAAATTGGGTCCTCAGCTCCTTAATAACCTACACCTTCCCTCAACTCTTCCATGTCTTTCTCCAGTGCTAAAACACCAAGGTAATAGTCAGATTTTGAACATTTATTCAACCAACGTTTGCTGAGCATCCACTTGGTGTTGAGTTCTGTGTTGGCCACTGTCAAAGGGAAAATGAACAATGAATTTTACCCACCATCAAGTTAAATGTGGTAGATAAGGATTTATAAATTTTTTAAATATATATATATATTTTTTTTTTAGGTGTAGATGGACACAACACAATGCCTTTATTTTTTTATGTGGTGCTGAGGATTGAACCCAGGTACTTGCATGTGCTAGGGGAGCACTCTACCTCTGAGCCACAACCCTAGCCCGAGAGAGATAAAGATTTAAACAAAGAATTACAGAATTATATGCTAAAAAACATGACAACACAACACCAAGAAGCAGCATCATGCAGTTGTAGCATAGCTTCTAGACATAGAAGGCCTGTGTTTGAACCCCAGTTCCACCACAAGTGATTGCTTTGACCTTGGAGAAACTATTTATTTGTTGTTGGGGGAGGAGATTTGATTGTTTTTATTTTTTGAGGTACTGGGGATTGATCCCAGCAGTACTCTACCACTCTACCCCAGTTCTTTATTTTGTGACAAGATCTTGCTAAGTTGCCCAGGCTGGCCTCTCTCCATCTTGCTTCTGCTTCCTGAGTCTCTGGGATTACAGGTGAGCTCCACTGTACCCTGCCCTCTTTGTTGTTGATTTTTGTTTGTTTTTGCTTTTGGCAGCGCTGGGGATGCAACCCAGGGCCTCAAACATGCTAAGCCATGCTTTGCCTCTGATCTACATTCCTAGCCCTGCTTAATCTCTTTGTATCTCGAATTCCTCATCTGAAAAATGGAGACAATAATAATACTTAATAGGGCCATGGCTGTGAGACCTGGTTAAGATAATTCTCATAAAGTACTTGGAACTGCTTGGTAAACATGCAGTAATTGGTAGACAATGTTGGGACTGTCAAGAATAGGCACCAAAAGCCCACGTCTTTTTATGTCCATATCCAAGAATCCTTGATGTTCATATCCAGGCTTCTTCAGGGCCACACAAGAGAGGAACTGAGGGACTCAGGCATTTTTCCTCTTCTTTCCAACAGGAATTTCAACTTTATTTGTAGCTGTTGGACCAACAGGTTGTGGCATCAGGAGGAAGCCAGGTGGCGAGCACTAATCATCAAGGCAGATAAACAAGTTTGGCAAGGTGGCTTTGAGTAACTCCTTACTGAAAAGGAGTTATTACTCTGTCTTTTTTTTTTTAATAGACTTTTCAACTTTTTTTTTTAAGAGAGAGAGAGAATTTTTTAATATTTATTTTTTAGCTTTCGGCAGACACAACATCTTAGTTTGTATCTGGTGCTGAGGATCAAACCCGGGCCACAAGCAAGGCCGCAAGCATGCCAGGCAAGCGCGCTACCGCTTGAGCCACATCCCCCAGCCCTGTCTTTTTTTTTTTTTTTGATAGGTATGATAATTTCTGAGTTCATTTTATTAGCACAGGAGGCGCTCACTGTGACTATACAGATGCCAGGCTGGAATGCTGGAGACAGGATCCTAACACTCCAGCAGACCTGAGGTGGTGACTGGGAATCACACTCATCATGCTGTCATTCTGCCCTGGGGCATGTGGTCTTTAAGGGCTTGGCTTTTGCTGGGGAGAGAAGGGAAACTAACATTTATTAAGCACCCAGTTTGTATCAGCACTAGACAGTGTGCTTTCATTACGTTATCTGATGGGATTTGATTTTGAAGGTTTTTTACTGATAAGGAATCCGAGACTCAAAGCTGTGATGTAATCAGAGTCAGAGCAAGATCACATAGTTAATAAATAGCAAATACAGGAATTGAGCCCAGATAGAATCAAGGGCTAACCCTCTTTCCATTGAACCCATTGCCTGTATATCTGAGACCTTCAAAATCTTGGTCTAAATATAATCTGCTCACTGGAATTCCAAACTTCAACTGGAGACCCTTTTTTCAGATAGGTACTTCAAAACACCAACAGGGCCGGGCATAGTGGCACACGCCTGTAATCCCAGCAGCTTCGGAGGCTGAGGAGGCTGAGGCAGGAGGATCACGAGTTCAAAGCCAACCTCAACAAAAGCAAGGCACTAAGCAACTCAATGAGACCCTGTCTCTAAATGAAATATAAAATAGGGCTGGGGATGTGGCTCAATGATCGAGTGCCCCTGAGTTCAATCCTTGGCACCAATAAATAAATAAATAAATAATACACCAACAGGTATCCCCCAGGTAGAAGGCCTTCCATATACAAGACACAGCTCTGCTACAAGGTAAAATCTTACTGTATGTAAATTATACATCAGTAAACCTGACTTTTATAAAGGTGTTGGGCATTTTTATATATAACTCAGTGGAGAGAGTTTACCTAACATGAATGAGGTCATGGGTATAAACCACACTACTGCCCCCAAAAAGAGTTCCTATAAAACAGTAACAAAATGACCCTCAACTCAATTGAAAAATGAAAAGAAAATATAAATATCCTTTATACATGTTTAAATACACTCATCCTCTCATAATACACTCATAATAAAGTGAACAAATTAAAAGTCACTAAGAGGAGCCAAGTGCCCATAATCCCAGCTATCTGGGTGGCTGAAGCTGGAACATTCTAAATTTGAGGCCAATCTGGCAAGCTGGCAACTTAACTGTCTCAAATAAAAAATGAAAAAGGGTCAGACATGTAGCTCAGTAGTAGAGCATTACTGAGTTTCATCTTCAGTATTGCAAGAGAAAAAAAGGAAAACCACTGGGATACCATGTATCACTAATATGATACATTAAAATCCAAGATTGATAACTCTTAGAACAGCCATGACTATGGGTAAACAGGATGTATGAATTGAAACAATGCCTATTGAAGATAATTTGATGGTGTCTAACAAAATTCCATATGTATATACACTTTGACCCAGCAATCATTTCTAGGAATATATCCTATAGTTACAGTTGCAGACATG